GTTTCTCCTGTGTGAGGGTATCTGCACTGGGTTCTGCTTACTTCTACTGGCACCAGCCATCCACGATGACTCCCAACTGGCCGCAGAGCACAGTGTGCACAGGGAACCCTCTGCAGTCACAGGGGTCCCCGCGGACATCTGGGTTTGGTGTACTTCTGCAGCCAGAGATCACCCCCACGCTTCTACCCACGACCCGGCTCAGTTTAAAGCAGAGCTTGAACTACTCTACCAGGGCAAGAAAGTCTCACAGCACCGATATCAAAGCTCTCGGCAGCCTCTCCACCCTGACCCAGCTGCCTGGAGCGGGGCGGGTTGTTGCCCAGACACAGGGATGGTGGCCGGGACAAAGCACGGTTCGCACCTTCCAGCAGCCGCAACCTCCCTAAGCACTTCTCTGTGGCACTAATTGGACAAGCACGGGTTTTTCTGGCAGAAATATCCTCCCCTCAACTGAAAGGATCAAACGCGGTACGAAAAACCTTAGCTAAACCAAATGTCACGCAGCCATTTAATTTTTACCTTTGTTAAATAATGTAACTGTCCCGGAAACGGTTCTTCAGCAACGCTGGCAGCCAGCGCGAGCACACAAGCTGTCCTCCAAAGAGGAGTGAAGCACAGTGGGTATGCCAGGGCAGCATGCAGCGGCAGTAAATAACCCTTTGCTTTGTTCCTTCATAAAATAAATGATTAATAGCTCAGTATAGGCAGTCTGCTATTCAAGGCTTGCTGAAAACTTTTGATCAAGTTGATTCATTAACCTTTAAAACTGCCTCTAAAAGAGGCTTAAAATCTGAAGGAGAAGCATCGTTTAAAAATGAACACTTCAATTTCATCCACTAATCCTAATTTTTGACAAACTGAGCTAAGCATTGAGACACTCTGCTCCTCTTTAGAGGCATTCAGTATCTCACGGTCAGGTGTCGAGAAAGAAATAGCAAGGGAAAATAAAGTTGATGTAGACAAACAAACCCGCGTTCGTCTTAAAATTCAAAGCTGATGAGGGCTGGGCAGACAAACCGGCACTTCTTTGTGATTCTTAAGCATTTGGCCGATTCGCAGGTGGCTTCCCAACTGTCTCTTTATTTCTTTTGGTTTTAATGCTAATAAAAAAGGAACACAAACAGGGGACTCGATTCCCCACACAATGCACTGGGGGAGGGCAGGGAGTGTAACTTATGTATCCGAAAAGTCTGACTCAGACAAATTACTTCTAGTTCACTTCCTTACTACACGCCCGCATTGTTCCAACACCTCGGTAGCATAAGGGGTTCATCCCCAGCTATCTGGTCACAGAAACAGCAATGCGGACTAATGCCTTTATAAGAACCGTTCCAATTACTTCCCTGGGGAAAGAAGTGACTTGCAGCTTAACGTCCTGCCCCGACGCAGCAGGAAAACCAACCGTCCACAAACGCCCGGTTAATGGCTGCTGCTATACGGGCCCCGCTCCCGGGACGAGTTGCGGTTCGTCTTCCAGGGACAGCAGCTGGTTCCTGGGTCAGAAGTACAGATGGTCGGAGGCTCAGGCGCAATTTGCTTTGAAAGTGAGGTTGGTGATAGATTCCCAAGAGAAAAAGGGCGTTTTGAACCAAGGACAACCGATGGCCACTGTTGCCAGGTTGATATTAGAAACTTGCTATCGGCTTGTTTTTGCCATCTAGAGAGGACAGAGATACTACGGTCGCGTAAAAAGGACAGGACAGGTCACTTGTCCGTCACACAGCCAGAGAAGTGCTTCACAAGCAGCCACACGGTTGCAGGAGTAGAACTAACAGCAGAAGAAAATGATTTCACCTCTAAGGGAATCACAAGCCTTTCTCAGAGAAAGGAACGCCAGCTATAAATTAAAAAGGTTAAAAACTTCTTACGGACACAGGGCTCACATAACGAGCCTGCACTATCTTTTGCGACGATAAATATACACAGTCAAGGATTTGAGAGTCTAATAGTTTCAGGGAGAAATTCTCAAGCTGCCAGACTGTGGAAGGGTTTTCTGAAATCTCATCAAAGATTGTAGGAATTCAGCAGTAGTAGCAAAATACTAATTCTTGTTTGGAACAATATTGAGGCTTCCGACATAAAAATAGCGTGTCACTCACGCTGCTTCAGATACTCACCAGTGGTGCAAATAAAGATATAATATTTATAAAGAAATGAGACCTCAACTGTAGCTTCGGTATTTTCTCTGTACTTGAATCTTCAAGCTTATCTACACCAAACAAAATATTTACCTACAAAGAAACAAAACCAGTTCCTAACTTGTATAGTTTTCCTGGGGTGTATCTGATTAAATACTGATCAGTGTTCAAATTCAACTTTTCCGTACAGAGCACAATAGCCGGTGAAGTTAAAATTTAAGGATGCCATAGACAGTTATTATGGCAAAGCAGTATCTTGTCTTTTGGGTACCAAACATGAGTACGTCATGGATTTGCACAGGATGAGCACAAAGAGGCTTCTGTCTCTACACTGTAAGATCTCAGAGTGAACGTAGTTAGACTCAGCACTAGATTCGCTTCAAGAGCCAGAAGACTCTATTCCTACTCGACCCGAGCCACGCAGGATGCGATTCAATCCCAAACATCGCAGCACCAGGCAGACTAGGGGGAGGAGAACATTTCACTCTCCCTCTTGCTGACACAGAGAGTGGAAAAATAAAGAGCAAAGCAGCACTCAGAATATGCGTAACATTAATAAGAGAGCTTAGGAGGACAAAGAAAAATTGCTTAAGAAGAAATTGAGAATTTTTGTCTACTCAGAAGCTACCTCAACTTAAATGTACTGTTTCAGTCATACTGTGGAATATGACAAATAGCTACAGCCTGGAGTAAGGAGACTGCAAAAGACGATGAAGAACAGCATCAGCGGGATTATAAAATGACATGGTCATGTCAGGATGGAAAAGCAGATGGGTACATGGAGAATGAACAAAACAGCCCCAGCTGAGCCGAAAGCGAACCGTTAGCACACGGAACTTAACGAATCTTGTGAATATCACCACATAAAATCAGTGTGTCAGGAATTACTTTAATGTACATCATTAAGTGAATGGTATAGTGTTATATGGCAGTGTAAGTGCTTTGCACTATTAACAGTTTGATTTTATTAATTTTAAAAGAGTTTTTCTTCTTTCTCAGCTATCTAGCCAACCTTCTGTTAAAGGCCAGTGTGTGCTGCACTATTCCTGGGGCTCAGCAGTGTATTTTTAAGACGAAGATTCACTCGTATATTCAACCTGGCTCAGCACCAAGCCTGCACAAACCACAGGTACATTCAAGTTTGATTACAGCTAACATATGCCACTGCTGTGGAGGGTGGATTCGGGACCTAAGAGAAACCCACGTGCTTATCTTCCACCAAAATAAAAGTGCTTGTTCAAAGTGTTGCTTGCTTCTACGTATAAAGCACCCAGTGTGATATGCGAGGGCGTGCAATGCGCCTCAGCATGTTTGCAAAGGAGTCCAAGTTGCGTAACTGTTTTTGGTATTCAGTTCAAGCAGCTTTTAAAAACTTTACAAATAAGTTTAAAGTAATTACAGGGTATTAATTAGTGCGCTCTGCAGAGGGACGGATTCAGCCCAAGCGCATGAAAGAAACCAAGCTAAAATAGTCCTTCCGAGCCTGATTTAACAGGCTTGTAGCAGACAACCTGAACAGTTTTATTCTCAAACATCTTATTGTCTCCTTGAGGGAAAACTGCAGAGAAACACCCTTAAGGAGCACACAACTGTCCTTGTGACAGTTTAAACAAGATTTCCAGTTGTCCACAGGAATCAAGGAATTATGTTCCTGCTTTGAGACCTGGGCAGGTCCCCCACTCCCATCACATTACGGTGAGCACAGCAACACAGAACACCACTTCTGTCTTGTAAGCACTCAGACAATCCTTAGAACATTTTTTCATGATTAGATATGATCACGTGACCATGGTTAGACCACTTATTGTCAGGCTGTCATTTTATAAATATACTTAAGTTTCTTTAAAAAATAAAACCACATACTTCTTGTAGAGAAAATAAGGCCTCTTTAAAAAAAAGACTTACTTTAACTCAAGATTCCCAAGGCGTTTTACTGTCACTGAGGACTGCAACAAGTTTCTGTGGGGTATTTACTTGCTCTAAACAGAGCAAAGAGAAGACTAGTCAGAACATTTTGGCCAAAACACAAAAAGCGACTGTGCCTGACAGATGTTAATTTAAAAAAATCACCAGTCAAGAGCAACAGAATAACCTTTTCCCTTATCTGCTGGAAGGTACCATCCCATTCAAAGGTGTTTGACAATGAACCATCTACTTGCTGTCTGTCCTTTTGTTATAAATGAGAAAGTCAGAAATGTCATGCCATACATTACTATCATCATACAAGTAGGTCATGGAGGACTGCAGAGAAGGCTGCAGAGTTTGCCGGTGGTACTCAAAGAGCCAGAGAACTGTCCCCCATACCAGAGCCGCGACAAGTGGAAAAGGATCCTGCTTTGGCTGTGGGACATAGCCCTTTTCCACTGCCAGCCGAGACAAGCCGAACAGGATACGAGACAGCAGGTACATAATGATCTGCATGAAGAAAAAACCCAAAGAACATTAGGTTAAATAACCTAACCAGATATACTAGCCAAGTCGAGCGATTTAGAAGTGATAAACCAGGCAAGAGGGGTGGCACCAATTTACCCAACGTAACAGCAAACAAGCTGCAGGTTCACATATCATGTAGTCTTTATAACTGGAGATGTTTGTGTCTTCCCTACATCCCCAAAGTCCTACTTCTCTGCTGGTGCTCTTAGTCATCAACAGGTTACACTTGATGCAACAGATCTTTGCAGTTGCACAACTTTTGTCTTTGTTCATTTAAAGCTACCTCAGATGCTGCTGGTGATAGAATAGTCCCGGAGCAGCCCTGCTAACCTGCCACGCAGATACAAACTCGATAGTCTGGACGCATCCTAAAACCAGACTGAGGGTATGTTCTTGCAGGGTATTGCGTAAGTGAAAACCCTTTTCATTAATCTGCTTCTGTGTGTTTTACTGACTGATTAATCTGTGACTATGTGTTAACAACCAGCTTTAAATCAAACATCCCCCAAGCAACTTTTGTCAGTTTAACCAGTTCAGTAGCTCAGGAACTGATGGTGCCCTACACTCACACTATCCAAGCTAAAGGGTTTAATCCCGCGAGTGGCAGAGTAGGGGCGCAAGCAGCCAGTTACCACAGCTCTGATGACAGGTGAAGTAACCCAAGGGCTTCAGATTGCATCACTGCCTGCCTTCCTAGGTACGCAACTGCAGCTCTGGAGCTAAATTTGGGTTTTTAGCCCTCAAACTGCACACACCGTTCACAGAGGCACACAACCACCTCTAGGATTTGGGCACAGGGCAGCCAAAACCAAAACTTTTGCAAAGATAAAAGAACAACGCTACCCAGTAAGAACCACCAGAAACATGCCAGGCTATACCAACCACTTCCTGGCACATCATCATCCATCAGTTGTTTTTTTTTTTGTCAAGAAAACTTTCAACAAATGCATTTACCTGGCTGTTGATGGGGTTGTTCTCACCAAACACTAGCCAACCTCCAATGCAGGCTGCAAAGAAAGAATGAAATGGAATTTTTTTCCCCTGTAGTCGGGACTGCAACGCCATCAGCCCCTTGTAGGTGAACACAAAATATGCCAAGTTCCGGGAATGAGTGTACGTAGCCTGAGCAATCGATTTCAATTTCTCTCTTAAACTGAAGAAAAGAAACAGACAATTAGGAGAGCAAAAAAGGCAGTACCACTGCAGTCACTCAGCCTGGATGCTATACCCCTCCGGCCTGCCCATCTACACTGACAGCTTGGGCACCCCACGGAACATCTGCTTCATGAGGGAGGAGGTGTCCCTTTACCTCTGGCTCACTCATCAGAATACAGCTCTACTTACACTGCGGACTGTGCTTCTGTCTAATTCTATGAACAGTCAAGCAACTTCTGTTTGTTTGTTTGTTTTTCCTAAGTGCAAACCTCTGGCATATGCAGGCAAAGCCACAACATGCATGGCTCTAGCTTGGCTTCCCTTATTTGAACGAAGAGCAGAATGCCGCTGTTTGCATCTGCTAATTTCTCCTCTGCCCACTGGTTCTCATCAACCATTGCACAAGTGGTTGACCCCCGTGAGTATGTATGTTTGTGTATGTGTGTGCATATAAGTTGTCCTGCATAGCTACTAGAACAACGGCTATGACCATGGATCACATATCTTTCTGCTTTTTAAGCCCTCTAGAAACACAAAAGATTGAGTTCTTGATTGAAAACATTCTAAGCAGTAACACAGAAATACAGAAGTAGGGTTTGTACCTTCCACTCTTGAACAAGAAAGTCATCACCAGGGCATGTGGGGCACGAATTTTTGCTCCATAACTGCAAAAGTGAATAGGTATTTCAGGCTTTTTGTATTGTGATTGTGATACAATCAAATGACTGTATTTCTATTCTACTGACAGCCAAAAGATGCTACTTAATAAGTCACCCCAGCAGCAGCACACCCAACCAGAAGCAGCCCAGGCCACAGGCTTAAGAGAACACACGCCCCAATAAACCAGACCCAAAGCAAAAGCAGTTAAAACCCCGCTTATCGGTGAGGGAGACAGAAACGCCTCTCCCAAACCTCTGCCACA